CATGCTTCCTATGGGCTGGATAATATTCTTCCCTGTTCAGAAGGTCATAAAGAGTGAACAAAATGCAGCCTTTGTCTTTAACTGTTAAGGAGAATTAGTTAAAGGGGGAAAGTAGTTTTAATGTGAGGAAGTCATAAGGAAAGAAGGGAATATATTCATAGGAATCTCTCCAAATACCCCTTGAATATGGTCTTGGGGGTGCAGGAATCCCAGAAAGGAAAACTGAGTTATTTGGGACAAGGAGAACAACCAGGCAGGTAGTACAAAGACAATGATTGGCTTCTTGCCAGCATCTTGCCACTGAGACAAAATCCCACACTTAGAGGCTCTTTTTAAGGGCATATAATGATATATTTCCAGATGTTAAAAAACAGCTGTGTAAAAGTGGAGCATTCTGGGAAGAGTGAGAAAAGGAGGAGGGAACAAGGATGGCTGCAGATGATGTGTCAGTTTCTTATTGCAGGCTGGACAGGCAATAGTCCTTTCTTTGATGATCTCTTCTCTGAGATTCTACATTCCTCTGTCTTTAGCCCAGATTTGGAAAGACATCAGAGAGACACGGTTCATCAAAAAGAGAGGAAACAGAGCTGCTCCTGGGATGAGAGAACTACAAAAGTCCTTCCATTAGCTCCAAGGGAGACCCAGGACCCCAGGCTGTAAGGGAGAGGGAGCAGACCAGGTGTTGGCAGCCAGGACACAAGCATATGTCTCTTCATAAATGAGATGCATGGGAGAGAAATTGCTTTCACAAGGGGAAAGGAAAAGGCTGAAAAGCTGACCTAGAAACAGGGGATAACACACACAATGGGGAACATGCAAGAGAGCTGATGACAGCCTTAGGCATGACTTCAATATAGCCTAATAATTTAAAGGAATGGATTAGCTGAGAACATCCCATAAAGAGTGCACAGTGTTTTCAATTAATACTTAGGTATACTCCATAATTATAAAATACCTTTGGGCTATCCATTTTTCAATGATGTGTCTATATTAATCCTGTATATTTTTTTCACTAAATGATGGCTGCTACTGACTGCTAAGAATGTTCTGCTTCAGTAAACTTTGATTTCACTTGCAGTTGTGCATTTATTAGGCAAGATTATCATCATCCAAGTTTCCAGGGTTGGGAATTCATTTGAAAAATATGGTCTATTTGCATTTAATTATCACATATTTACCGAGGAAAAATATAAACACGCCTGTTTTAGGCAAGGAATGGAGCCAGTAATGTACTGCAGACTTGGGATTGTGCTTTTTAATATAATCAAACTACTGTTATAAATAATTCACAGTTTCCACTGTGGAAAAAAAATTGAATATGGATTTCATGATAGGTTGTTGTGAAGAATTTTTTTAATTTTTAAATAAAAAATGGACACTTCACAAAATACTAAAATTACTAAGATTGTTTGTAGCACATGAGACATTATTAAAATTCACCTTGAAAGAGGATGTAAAGGAGAAAAGAATCTCTCTATGAGAAGTAACTACCAGCTGCAGCTGCAAGGAGAAGAAAAAAGAAGAAACATATTTTTTTAAGACACCAAAGCAACACAACCAGAGAAGAAGAGGAAATGTCAAATTAACTTTTGGGAAACAAGTCCTCTGTTCAAAGTTCACATAGTTCCAGACTCTCAGACGCTCATGTTTTCACCAGTATCATTGACTCACAAATTGCAGATGAGGGATTCCGACCTTACAACAGAAAGGCAGAATTATTGAACAGGTATTTGAGAAGAGAAAGAAATCTCATGGCATTTCAGAATTCCTGCATGAGTTATTTCCTTGTCCATCTGCTGTGGTGTCCTCTGTACAGAGTTTGGTGGACTCTAACAGAAAGGACAATCAGCTTCCTTTCAGCAGCAGATCCTCATCTGGACTGGCACTGGGGCTTGCCAAGCTATTAGCCAACACCAGCACTCCAGTTGCACTGTTGGAACAGAGAGACCCTGCAGGGAGCTGGGGAGCTGATGGGTAGGTGCTTGCTGCTGAGCTAAGGAGCAGGTAACCTGGGGGCACAGCTCTGGGGCTGCTCTGAGGGGCTACAAACTGCTGAGAAATAAAGCTGAAGATGTCAGGGTCTGTGAGGCATGTCGGGACCACATGGCAGTGACCAGAACAAAATGAAGCTCTTTGAACTTCATTGGTAGCCCAGATACCAAGCTCACATGTAAAACTGTCAGAGACCTAAGCAAGTATCTTAATCACACCTGAGATACACAAGACATGCTGCTGTGAAAGACCTTAAACTGCTCTTAGAGAGCACCTGCATTGTCTCAACCAGCAGCTGAAGGCTGGGCAGGCCAGCCCAAGGGGTCTCAAGCAGTGCTAGACCTGTGTTTAAGTAACTGAAGCCCACCTTAGGTGAGGAGCACAGGTTTTGCTTGGTGGTCCCAGAAAGGGACCCTGCAGCCTTGGAATAATTCATATTAGGTAAGGAGAAAGGAAACATGCTGCATATTAAACAAGGTGGGGAAGCATGCCATGAAGTGACTGCTGTGGGAGTGGCAGAAGACCTTCATCATAATGGTAAATTCAGAAGTCTACACATGACCTTTCCTCAGATACCAGTCATTTCAAGCTGATGGTTCCCTTGATATGATCTTGTAAAATTAAAATAAATAATTATTGCCTGAAACTTCTACTTTAAGTAAGTTCAAAGTGGGTTTCTCCCTTTTTAGCTTGATTTTGAGACTATCTGAATGTTTCCTTGAAATGTATTGTAAATTTCAACAGGTTTCATCTTTTATTATTGAACAAACTAATATGAATTCCTGTTTCTGCTACTGCAAGAAGTATAATGTTCCCTTTCATTATATTGCTCTCTAATAACTAGTTTTACTTTTTAGCTTCCTTCCTCCTCTTTAGTTGGTGTCTGTCAAATTTGTCATGTCTGTCTTCCCCAGCCTTGAATTTAAGAGTCTGGTACATCAAGTAAGACAAAAATCTCTCTGTACTAGTATGTTCTTTCAGCAAAATCAATATTCAATGAGATTCTAATAGCATGAGACAGATCCAATTTTATATTTTTAGTAAGCATATCAAGAGCCTCTATCTTTGCCCTAAACACATCACCCCTTGCTTTTGAAATTACTTGCAAAACAATTTGCTACTTCTGAATTTGATTTCTTCTATCTGCCTTTTTAAAAAATAAAAACTGTATAGAAGTGCATATATTGCCAAAAGCAAGTAAATATACACCATCACCTAAAGATTTGTGACAACTAGAACTTCAGTCTAGATTTAAAAGATGTTGCACAACCTTGATTTTTTCCCACCTTCAATTCACCACTACTGTCAATAGGCCTACTTAGGTGTGTAAGACTCACTTGTATGAATAAGTACTTGTAGTTATGTCCCATGAAGAAAACAAAAAAGGCTTCAGGCAACTGGCCAGCTGATTGTTGATGACTTGACATTTATGCAACTCATTCTCCCCATGAACAATAACATTTATTGTATTGAGAGTTCAGGAACTGGGTATAACAGGAACCAGCAAAAGATGACTAAAATTAAAGCTAAGCAGAAGGAAAGGCTATAATGTGGAGCCATGGCTGTTATTTAATTTCCCTTCAGAAATGAGAGGAAAAAACAGGATCATTCTTTTATCCATTCTTCTTCTCTAAAAAAAAAAAAAAGAAAACCAAAACAACAACAATAACAGTAATCCAAACAAACAAAATCAAGCAAACAAACAACAAAAATAACAAAAAAAAAAAAAAAAAAAAACAAAAAAAAAAAAACCAAGCGACCAAAAAACCCCCCACTGTTACAGACCACAGAAACTCCAGATCCAAGGTTCTGGTTTGCAGAGATTCAGCTTTTGCCAAATGGGCGCAATTAACAGTGTGGGATGACTCCAACAGAAAGCAGAATATGAAATGCAGCTGAATATGAAATATCCAAATATCCACTAAAGAGAATGGCATCCTGAAGACAGAAACACCTCCTCACCTACATGCATACCCCAGGATTCAAAGGGAATTACATACAGCATCCAGGTAGAAAGAGAGCAAGGAAAGAAAAAAAATAGCCTTTTTTTTTCCCCTGAAAACGTACCTAAAAAGTTAGTTCCTATCTTCTTGCTCAAGAAGGAGCCAAATCCTGAGAGAGCAGATGATCATTACTTTTGAACTTACTGTGTATATTACTGATGTACATCACTCTGTAAGCATTTTTAAAGTTTTTTTAAATCTTTAGTTTCTCATTTGGAAATTAGAAAGAAAAATAATTCAGTGGCCCTATAGAACATCTAAAATGAAAATCTGGTCCCAGCGAGGTCAATGCCTGGGCTTTGATTCTCTTTAGCTGGTCCAAAATTTCTACCACAGAGCTTTTAAGAAATCCGTGTAGAACCTAGGCTTAGTTTTTCTCAATACTGATGAATGTTTGAATAATTTGCTTGTGATATTCAACCAAAGCAATTCTAGAAAATATGGGTATGTGAAACCCCAAAATAGTAAGCAATGGGCAATAGTCCCAAAAAGAGAGGAATCAGTCTTATTTTAATCTGAAATAGCTGGGATATTTTGATGCTGGTTTAAGAAGGAGCTTTGTGCCAAAGACAGTTTCTCCTTCAGTTCCTTATAGTGTCTGGTCTGCAATATAGTGAAGGGAAACAAGATTGAGAAAATCAATACACTAACGGTTAAAGTCAGCAAACCTCTTCCTCCACCTGGAAAGTATCTTGGACATGTATGGTTTCATATTTAATCCCTTTCCTGATGGTGATTAGTAATTAGCAACATCCTATTCAGCTAACCACACAGAGAAGTTAGCACGTAATTATATTGTCCAGAAAAGATCAAAAGAATCCTTCTTGTGGGATTTCTGGTTCATTCTTAGCTAGAAAAATGATGTAAGAATTCCCTGTCCCACAGCATTTCACAGTCCTGTTTTCAGATGTTCTCGGGGAAAAAAAAAGCCCCAAACAAACCATTAAATAGCTGTGAAAAAAAAAGCTACAAAAAACCCACCCTGAACAAATAAGTTAAAATTACCTGATGTTTTTTGATCTCATTAGATTGAGGTTGAGTCGTTTAGGTCAATTCTTCTTTTATCAGCACGGTTCACAGGTTGCTACCAAACATGATTTAATGCAGTGTATATACAAATTCTCTCTCTCTAAAACAGAAAAGCAAAGAAAAGCTGTTAGAATGAGCTTATTCTTACTGAATGCACACCAGTCCCACTTCAGCAAAGAAAAAGCCCTATTGTTTAACAGATTGAGACATGCTAAAGCAAAATCAAGTGACTTGCTGTCTGTTGGACAAACTATTGACTGGAACATTATAATTTATGCTGATTTCAAAAGGCCAAATCTTACAAAATCTAAATGAAATTCTGCTACAGTGCATTCAAGTGTGATTGAATGTAATAAGAGTTGGGGATAGTGGTTGTGCTACAGCCTAAAGCCTCAACTGGCTTGCGGCAATTACGAAAATCCAAAATTGCCCACTCTTTTCTGTTTCTGTGTGACTCTCCAAACATGTGGGGAATGGAAGAGGGGATATTTCCCTTTCAGACTGTGGATTTTGAAGGGGAGAAACTTACAATAGAGAGGTTTTTTTTTTTTTTTAACAAAAATTTATTTCATCAGATCACTGCACTCTTTAATTCATGATTCAGGAGCCTCAGCACCATTCACAGGACAGGGGGAAGGGAAGGGAAGGGAAGGGAAGGGAAGGGAAGGGAAGGGAAGG